TTTGTTTGTTTGTTTGTTTGTTTGTTTGTTTGATGTATTGTTTGTTCCTTTGTCGCTGCTGCCTTTGTTTGTTTGTTTGTTTCATTGTTTGAGGTATTGTTTGTTCCTTTGTTTGTTTGTTGTTTGTGCGTGTACATCTCTCTCTATATACCTACCTACCTACCTACCTACCTACCTACCTACCTACCTACCTACATACATACATACATACATACATGCATGCATTCATGCATACATGCATACATGTATGCATGCATGCATGCACGCATGCACGCATGCATGCATACATGCATACATACATACATGCATGCATGCATGCATACAAACATATGCACATCTTATCCGCGGTGCCGAGAGGTCCCGACCCCTTCCCCAGCAGCAGCTTCCATGCTGGACCCACCGGTGCTGGCCTCCGGGGGCCATGGCGAGAGGCCCTCGGAGGGCAGAGGCCGGGCAAAACCCGATGGGGGGGGTGCTTTCCCTGACCTTCCAGAGAGCTATTTTTTAGCACTGGAAACCTAAAAACCTAAAAAACGAGACGAAACAGCCTAAAACCAAGACGTAAAATAGCTCTGGGATAGGTTTTTACGTCGGGTGCTATTTTTCAGCCCTCCTGGAAGGTCAGGGTTGTGGGCCCCAGAAACTTCAGGGCCGTTTTTTCACCGCTTCCCAAAAAGTGACCCTTGAAAATGGAAACGGCCAAAAAACGGCGACCGGAAACGGCAAAAAAAACGGCTCCAGGACTGGAGCCGGAGCCGGAGCCGGTGAACAAAAAGGCGACGGAACCGGTAAAAAAAACGGCATCGGAACCGGCAAGAAAACGCCAAAACGGAACCGGTTAAAAAACGGCCCTGTCGTTTCCAGGGCCCGCTAAGGTAAAGGGAAATTAGGACACACAAATAAATACACACAAATAAAAATAGTCCCCATACTTTCCCATATTTTCTGGGTTTTTGTCTTCCCCCCCCATTCCCATATTTTCCCATATTTTCCTGGGAATCGAGGATTAATTGTGTCTGTGTGTTTTTTTCCCTCCTGATAAGGGGGGGAGCACGTCTGCCCTCCCTGGCCCCTCCCCGACCACGCGACGAGCCCAGCCGACGTCAGGGGCGCGCACGGCAGCGGCGGGCGCGGCAGCGACGGGAGGGGCCCGGCTCCTGGCTGTCGAGGGGGCGCGGCCCCCTCACCCACCGTGCCAGCATGGGGCGACGTCGGGCGTGTCCCCATACGGGGGGATTTGGGGGTGAAAAATCAAGAATACTCCAAACATACTCCCCGAATGCCCAAACATAGTTCTGAAGCATTGTCCCCTGACTTTTTGTTAATACTATTTTCGAATATCCCTCCTGTAGAGGGACAGGCCCGACTTACACATAGGGGCCGCTGAAGAGGGCGCGGATGGGGGGCTCCCGTGGCCACGGCGAGGCGAGCCCGGGCCACGAAGGGGCTCCCCGATCTTGATTTTGGGAGCGGCCCGGGAGCTGGAGAGCCGCTCCCGAGCCCAGAAAGCGCTTCGCACGTCAGCGTTCGGAGGGGAACTCTGCGGACCCCACCTCCGCGGCCACGAAGAGGTTTTCCGATTTTGATTTGAGGAGCGGCCCGGAAGTCCCACCAGCCCCTTGGGCGTGAGTGGTTCAGCGAGCTCTCTCTGTCCTCAACCCCCCTTCTTCCCCTTCGGGCAGGGGTTTACCCCTCCCCCTACCCCCTCCCCCCGGGCCTGGAGAGGTCCTTTCGCGGGTCGTCAGAGGGGTCTTTTTCGACTCCTGGGGGGCTAAAATTCGACACCCCTCACGAGGATTCTGGCCCCGACGGGGGGAGGCAGAAAAGTGCTCGCCTCATCTGTGATCGATCGCCCGACAGATGGCCCCAAGATTCCTCCCAGACCCCTCCCAGAGAGCCCCACGAGGCCTCCAAGAGGCCTCCAAGAGGCCCCCAAGATGCCCCCAAGAGGCCCCCAAGAGGCCCCAAGAGGCTCCCCCGAGGCACCCAAGACGCTCCTGGAAGCCCCTGGAGCCGCCAAGAGGCCCCCAAGACGCCCCAAACGGCCTCCAAGAGGCTCCCAAGAGGCCGAAGAGGCTCCCCCAAGGCACCCAAGACGCTCCTAGAAGCCCCTGGGGCCGCCAAGAGGCCCCCAAGACGCCCCAAAAGGCCTCCAAGAGGCTCCCAAAAGACATCCCAAGAGACTCCGCGATGCATCCAAGAGGCCTCTGGCCCTTCTGCTCGTCCTCCCCTCCTCGTCCGCCTCCCCCTCTTCCTCCTCCCTCCTCCCCTCCCCCACCTCCTCCTCCCATTCCTCCTCCATCCTCCCCTCTTGGGATATGGCGGAATCCCCTGTCCTTCGTTTCTCTGTATGTTCCCACACTTCCCTGATCGAATCAAAGCAACTCCTCTGGGCATCATTGCTGAACAGATGACCAACAAATCCCGACAGTCGGTACTCTTTCCTAAAGTGGCTGTTTTGGGATGGGCTGGTGGGGATTCGCGAAGCGTGAACAATTAGAGTCTTTTTTGAGCTCATGAAGCGGTTCGCACGTCCGCGTTCGGATGGGAACTGTGCGGACCCCACCTGGGCAGCAGCCTGACCCTGGCCTCCCCGACGTCCTCACGTCGTGAGAGGCCCGCGACGCAGGGTTTTCGCTCACTCTGGTCCTCGCGGGGGCCCTCGCGGGGCCTCGGGGGCCGTCAGAAGAGAGGGCGCGGGGCGAAGAGGCCCGTCCCTGGGAGGGGGTCCCGACTTCTGGCGGGCCGCGGTGCGAGAGAAAGCGCGGCTTCGGATGCAAAGGGGAGAGCCCGACCGTGGTGAAAAGGGGGCACCCGTGGGTGAAATAAGGTTGGAGGTCCATCTGCAGGTGCAAGCTCTGCCCTCCTGGCACTTGCAAGGGCAAGCCCTGAGCTCCGGGCCTCCCGGCGGTGCAGACAGATCGCGATGGCCTGCTGTTCTCCAATTTCGGCCTCCAGGGGCTGCTCAGATCCGTCAAACAACGACTCAGGATGAAAAGCTGGTCCCCAGGAAGTGGTCAAAGCCCCAACTTGCCATCGCTCGGAGGTCCATCCCCCGTGCGTTTTTCGGCTTCGTGCGCTTACTTTTTCGCAAGACGATCCACGATGCTCCTCGAGGGCCCTCGCCGAGGAAAACATGCACGCATCCGAGCCATGAAGGGCCAAAGGCCGACGGCACGAAACCGTTGCAACACCGCGGGGGCTGGCCTTCCATCCCGAGAGCCCTTCCTCCGACGGTCCTGAGGCCCGAGCTGGCCAGACACCTCCCGCCGTGATCTTGCAGCGGCGCGAGGGGGTCGACTTTCGGCGAGGGGACTCCCCCTCCCTCTCCCCCTCCCCCTCCCCTCCCACCTCCCCCTCCTCCTCGCTCCCCTCCCCCTCCCCCCTCTTCCTTCCTCCCCCTCCTCCTCTTCCTCCTCCTCCTCCTCCCCCTCTCCTCTCCACGCCTCTCCTCCCTCCTCCCTATTTCCTCCTCTCTCATCCTCCTCGCCTCCTCCTAATCTCCTCCCTCATCCGTCCCTCATCCTCTCCTCCACTCCCCTCCTCCCCACTCCTCCTCCTCGTCCTCCTCCTCCTTCTCCTCCTCCTCCTTCTCCTCCTCCCCTTCCCCCTCCTCCTCCGCCGAGCCAACCCGGGCCTCTCCGGCGGCCGTTCGGGACGACCTGGGCCACGCCCCGAACCTGGGCGAGGCGCAGCTACTGGATAGCATCCCGAGGCTGGGAAGCCCCCAGGGCCAGGCACCCGAAAGCCTTGAATCTCCTCCTCCACTCCTGGACATCCGCTGGTCTGACGCTGTTCAGTCCGCGGCCCCTGAATTCTGCGGTGGACAAACCTTCCTTAATAAACCTGCCATTCGTGAAAACGGCCTGTGACCGAAACCGACGGACCTGGACCCGCAAAAACGACGGCCGCGACGCCCTCTCGCGAACCGAAAACGGCCAATGCCTTAATCGACATGTCAGGGTAGGAGGTCGATCCACCTCCGACGGCATTCCCTCCCCCTCCCCCGGGGGGCAGTCTTTCGCCCCGGGTCCGTCTGTGCTGGCCCCGACGGCCCACCAAGGCGGCCCCCGAGGGCTCCAGTCCAGGAAAGGCCCGCCCCCGACCGAGCAAAACCAGGATATCGCCGGGAGCCTGGGACCCCCCGCCCCCCTCCTGGGAGGTGCTGGGAGGAGGAGGAGGAGGAGGAGGAGGAGGAGGAGGAGGAGGAGGAGGTCGGAGGAGGAGGAGGAGGAGGAGTTGCTGGGAGGAGGAGGAGGAGGAGGAGGGGAGGAGGAGGAGGAGGAGGAGGAGGAAGTCCGCCCCTGCCGCCAGGCCTTCGGCCAGCGGGCGGCCGCGCGGCGGGGCGTGCGTGGAGCGGCAGGGCCTCCGCGCGGCCGCCCGCCGCACGCCGCTCACCGCCGGCCGTGGGCGCAGGACCCCGCGTGCTGGACCACCCACCGCCACGTGAGGTTTATCCTCGGCCCCAGGTTCTCGCTCTCCTGGGGTCGGGCGAGGCTCGTTGGTTAACGGGCGAAGTACGGTAGAAAATACACTTTTTCGCTGTCGGGGGCGCCTGTCCCAGGGCGGCTGGAAAGTTTATACCCTTACGGTGGCACCGCAGGGGTATAAACTTTCCAGCCGCCGAGGGGCAGGCGTCCCCGACGGCGGAAAAGTTTATTGCATACCGTTCTTCGCCCGCTGAGTCGGGGGAGGAGAGGCTGCCGGTCCCGCGGCTCGTCCTGGAGGCCTCTCGTCGCCACGGCCTGGCTCCTCCCCGAAGTCCTGGCCAGAAGGCAGCCCTTGGAGAGGTCCGCGGAGCAGCGGCACGGGAGGCGAGACCCAGGTCTGGCGCTCTTCCTGGGCTCCTGCCGCGGGGCCCCTTCGGGGCATCGGGCCCCGAAGGGCCCTTCGGGGCGAGGCGCTGCCCTGCTGCAGTCGGGGCGTTGACCTAAGGAGCCCTAAATCAGCAACGAGGCCCCTTTTTCCCAATAAGTTCAACCTCGATGTCCGATGGAAGCCCTCAGGAAAACCCGAGGCAAACTTTGAAGCAATCAAGGAACACCGAGCCCCTCCCCAGCGAAAGGGGCTCCTTCTTCAGGCGCGTCGCGCCCAGCCTGAGGCGGAGGGCGACAGAACCCCTTGCGAGCTTGTCGCCCAAAGGCATTCGGTCGACAGCCTTTGGTCCATTCGCTCGACAGCCCCTTTGGACGTCGAACGGTCCAAAGGGGTTCCCTCTCCCCAGCGAGAAGGGTTCCTTCTTCAGCGCCCCGACGGTGCCCCCAAAAAGGGAAGGGGTCGGGACCCCTGCGGCCGCGGACTGGGAGACGCCGTGCCGGAGGACGCCTGGGAGACTCGGCCGCACGCGAGAGCGGTCCTGTACAATCGGGGCGTTGCCCTAAGGAACTCTGAATAAGCAACGAGGCCCCTTTTCTCCAGAAGCTGAGCTTCGACTTCCCTTCGGAAACCAGAGGAAGACCCAGGGCAAACTGTGGAGCAATCAAGGAACACGGAGCCCCTCCCCGACGAGAAAGGTTCCCTCTTCAGGGCACCGACTGTACGGCAGGCTCGTGCCGTGTCGAGACCTCCGCGCTGGCTTCCCGACGCGCGTGGATTGCCCAGAGAGGCTGCACCGACCGGCGGCGCCTCGAGGGCCAGATCGCTCCAGTTGGCCGACTCTGCGCCGCTGGCGGCGCTCGGCCTGGAACGCCCGCGCTGGGGCCGTCGCCGTGCCGACACCACGCGCACCACGCGCACCTGCACGCGCCCCTCTCCTCCTCCTCCTCCTCCTCCTCCTCCTCCTCCTCCTCCTCCTCCTCCTGCTCCTCCTCCTCCTGCTCCTCCTCCTCGTTCTCCTCCTCCTCCTCCTCCTCCTCCTCCTCCTCCTCCTCCTGGGGGGGGCCTCCACGGCGTGTCGGTCGCCGCGAGCGATGGCGGCAGCTGGCGGGGGCCTCTGCGTGCCTGGGCCCGGCCATCCCCCGCGCCGCCCGGGAGCCGCGCACGAGAGGCCACGCCGGCGAAGGGCCACACGCGCAGCCGAGAGAGAGAGAGAGGGGAAAAAAAAAGAGAGGGGGGGGTAATAGTACGAGGGGGTGGCGAATCAGCCCCTGCAGCTGGCTTTCCCGGCGCCTCCGGGCGCCGGAGGCGCCCATGCATTGATGGAAGCGCCCCCGACGGCGGGGCCGAAAGCAGCTGCGAGCGGCAACTGCCTCAGCCCCCCCCCCCCTTGTCTGATCCGATCTCCCTGGGCACGCGGTGCATGTAGTGCTTCTGCGTCATGCCCTCCATGGTGCACAGGGACCCGCAGCCGAGGGACATGTGCGTCTCGGGCTGCTCGCCCTCCTCCGGCCAGTTCAGCTTGAGGTCGAACCTCCGCGGCTGGCCGAGAGAGAGCGAGATGATCCTGATGTCGCGGAACTTCCCCTGGAAGAGGGGCTCGTCGTCAGAGTGCCACCCCACCTGGTGGCTCCCGTTCTCGTACAGGTTGACGTTGCAGCCGTTCGGCCAGTCGCTGGGGTTGTTGATTCCGCAGTACGGCATGTAGACGCCCAAGAGCTCGATCATCCAGGGGGGATACGTCACGGGCTCCACCTCCACCCCGCCGTAGCGGTACCTGCAGGTGCAGCCCTGGCACACCATCCAGCTGGTCTTTCGCGGGATCGGGCCCAGCGCGCCGTCCGGCTGCAGCCACTCGGTGCCGTCCTCAGGCAGGGGGGATGAGGCTCCTGAGGGAAACGGGCCCTGGACTCCAGCTGGGGCTTTCCACGAGGCCCATTTCTCATCCCGTGGGTCGTTTTCTGAAGGTCTCAGGGCCTGGGGAGGGCCGTGGAAACCAGGATGCGGAACAACACCTCAGCACTCCGTTTCCTCAGGACCTCGTTTCTTCACTTGAGCGACGATCACAAGCACGTCTTACGCGAGATGACATACCGACCTTACGCCGCGGCCGACTGAGGCCACAAGAACGACACGCCGCAGTGAAGACGAGGGTGCTTATGCGCGACCTCACGCGTGCAGCTTACGCGCGAATGTCAGCGAAGACGACCCCGTTTCCATGCGTCGTTCACTTGGCGGCGCCCACCAGGGGGGTGGGGCGAGAGAGGCAGCCTTGTACTTATCAGTGAGGCAGGGGGGCTCTCAGGAGCTTTCCTGCCTTCCAGGCAGCCTTCTTGGAGAACCCCAGTCCCTCACAGGAAGCCCTCTGCCTTCCTGGAAGGCCGCCCCCCCCCTCGCCCCACCCAGCTCGGCGCGCCGCCGACTGATGGTGCCGCCCCTTACTGGCGTCCACACCTGTCCTGGGAGATCGGCTTTGACCAGACCTGCGAGGCGGATCCAGCCGTGGCGACGGAGGGCGCCTCCCGGAGGCCCCAGGCAAGAGGGGGGGGGGGCGCGCGCGGGCAGAAGCGGGAGCCTCGCACCCCTGCAGGGCCCCCTTCTCTTCGCGGGGCCGTCCCGGATCTTCTGGAAGAACTCCCGGCAGCGCGCATCGCTGATGGGGCTGGGCAGGAAGGCCGCGAAGCACCGCCGCGAGACGTCCCGGAGCTTCACGTCCCACTGCACGCCTGGCGGCGCCAGCTCGCTGGTCAGCTGCAGGCCCTTCTCCTCCTGAGGGGGCACCGCCGTCGTGCTGCCGCGAGGGGGGAGGAGGAGGAGGAGGAGGAGGAGGAGGAGGAGGAGGAGCGGGAGGCACGTAGGAGGAGGAGGAGGAGGAGGGAGGAGGAGGAGGAGGAGGAGCCGCGGGGCCGCGGTGCCGGGCTGCGGGCGGGGGGTGGTGCGGGCGCGGGAGAGGAGGAGGAGGAGGAGGGACGAATGGGCGGGAGGGGGAGGGGAGGATGATGGACAGGAGGAGGGGGGGGGGGAGGAGGTAGGGGGGCTGGGGGAGGGGCACCCGGGGGAGGAGGGGGATAGGAGGAGGAGGAGGAGGGGAAGGAGGAGAGGAGGAGGCGAGGGAGGGAGGAGGAGGGAGGAGGAGGAGAGGAGGGAGGCGGAGGATTCGAGGCACTGGGGCCGGGCACCGCGGCCCCGGGGGGTCCCCCGCAGCCCAGGTCCATAGGGAGCGGCTCGGCGAAGCCCGGGGGCCCCTCCCGAGCCAGAGGCGGGCCTTGCTTCAGCGCCTGGCCGCCTGGCCGCATGCCTTCCGACCGCCTCCCTCCTCCCTCCTCCATCCTGCCTCCTCCCTACCTCCCTCCTCCCTCCTCCCTCCTCCCTCATCCCTCCTCCCTCCTCCCTCCTCCCTCCTCCCCCCCGTGCATGCGCACCGTGTGGATACAACCAATACGGTGACGATGACGATGACAATGACGATAGCGATGACGATGTCATCGTCATCAGCATCATCAACATCATCATCATCATCATCATCATCATCATCATCATCATCATCATCATCATCATCATCATCATCATCATCATCAGCATCCGCATCCGCATCCGCATCCGCATCCGCATCAGCATCAGCATCATCATCATCATCGTCATCATCATCATGATCGTGATCGTGATCATGATCGTGTTCATGATCATGACCATGATCATCATCATCATCATCATCAGCATCATCATCAGCATCATCATCATCATCATCAGCATCATCATCAGCATCAGCATCATCATCATCATCATCATCATCATCATCATCCTCATCATCATCATCATCATCATCATCAGCATCATCATCGACGGACGTTTCCAGTCGTTCTCGGACTCTGGGGGCCCTCGCCGGGCCCGAGGGCGGTCAGAAGACGACCAGGGACGAAGGGACCTGTGGGAGTCCTGTACTGAACAAAGCAAGGCGTCGGATCTCCCGCAAGAGGCTCGTTTCGGGCCACAATTTTGAAGGGGAACTGGAACACACAAATAAATACACACAAATAAAAATATCCCCCATATTTTCCAAAATTTCTGGGTTTTTATCTTCCCCCCCACTTCCCATATTTTCCCATATTTTCCTGGGGATGAACGATTCATTGTGTCTGTGTGTTTTTTCCCCTCCTGAAATTTGGGCATCCGTTCACCCCTGAAGCGCTCTCGGCGAGGCGCAGCTGATGGAAAACATCCCGAAGCGCGAGAACCTCCAAGAGCAAGCGGAGCGCCTGGAAGGTCAGGAAGAGGAGGGGGACCCTCCTCTTCTCCAGTGTTGCCTTTTTGTTGTGACGTCGGCCCGCGGTGCTTTAACCACTCCCCGAAGGCCAACCTCTCATGCAGAGTCGATATTCTGCGGGTTAGTTTTCCTTCCCAGAGCCTTTTTTAGTCTCAAGTGCCGAAAAGAAGCCGAAATCAAGGAGAAATACAGCGGTTGAGACAATCAAATCGTCGGAGACCTGGGGAGGCCGACGATGCAGAGAAAACGCGGCCGCCAAGATTGTTTCCCTCAACTCCCATGTCTGGACCACTTCCTGCCGGGCACCACTTTTGTCGCCCCCAATAACTTCTGACGGCCCCGGGGCCCGGCGAGGGCCCTCAGGCGCCGCAAACGACGACCAACCCTCGTCTTGATGTGTTCCATGCGCTGTGGAGGTCTGGGCTTGCGCCGCTCAGATCTGAGGTCGGCTACACGATCTGAGGTAGGAGTGACCTTTGGTGCGCGGCTTTTTGGGGGGCCTCGAAAGGACCAAACCTGGGCGCGCAAGCCGCTGCTCCTGCTCCGTGTTCAGCCATCTGGGGACCCACATGTGCCCGCACCAGAGGTCACTCCGGCGGAAGGCCACTCTTACGTCTAGCCGATGCGGGTCCTTGGAGACCTCCCACGCGCCGTCCACGCCGGCCTTCTCCGGCGGCGACGGCGGGGGCCGGGGCTTCTGCTTCCGGGCGCGCGCGGCGCCCTTGCGCGGCCGGCGGCTGCGCGACCTGCTGGGCTTCCGCCGCCGCCTGCGGGCGGGGCCCCCCCGAGTTCCTCCTGGCGCTGCAGCTGCGGGCCCCCGGGGCCCGCAGAGGGGTCGGCCCGGCTCGGAGGCTGCCGCAGAGCGACGGGGGGCCTGGAGCTCTGGTCGCGATCTCCTGCGACGCTGTACTGGTTTCGCGACGTCGGATCTCAGGGGAGGGGGGGGGGACGGACCCCGACACCCTCGCGTTCCGGCAGGACCAGCGGCGGAGGGTTTGGGGCAGCTTTTTCGGCCTCCGGGGGCCCTTGCCGTCCCAGGGGGCGCATTGCTCACGTGCTCTGACTTCTGGCGTCTGGGAGGAGATGCCTCCCAGTGGCGCCTGCAGCGGGCAGGCTCCCCGGAGGTTCGAACTTCCAGATTGGAGGTCGCTTGATGTCTTCCCTTATCTGGGCCTCCAGCGGCTTCTCGTCCCCATGCACGGCTGGATCCACCTCCAAATTTCCCAGAACAGACCCGGGGTCGACGCTCTACTTTTTTGAATACTTTGAATTCGAATTTTTTCCCAAGTCAAGAAACGGCACATCAAAAACCAGACACATCTTCCTCGCGCCGTGCAAACCATCGCAACGGACAAGCTTTTGGGCCGCTTGCGGCCTCGGGGAGGCCTTTGCCCGGCCATTTGGGGAGCCATGCCAGGAAAGGGCCACTTTCTGCTTCGGCCCGCTTCGGCTTTGGCCCGTCTCGGCTGGGTCGGTCTCTTTCTGCTTCGGCCCGTTGCGGCCTGGCCCGCCTCGGGCGGGCCGAAGCCGAAACGGGCCAGGAGCCGAAACGGGCCTCAAGCCGAATCGGGCCCTTGCCGCTGTGACCAAACATCACAGCGTCGGCTCTCCCGGCCCCTCCGCGGCCTGCTCCGCGACCGGCGGTCCAGGCGCGGGTCGAGCTGGCCGTAGCCCAGCACGTGCGGGTGCCCATAGGGTGGCCAGCCCGGCGGCGGGTGGCCCACGGGGTAGCCCGGCATCGGCGTGCCGGGCGGGTACCTCGGGAGCGCGCGCGAGGGCCGTGCCCCCGCTCTCCGCCTCTGGCGCGCGCGCGAGCAGGGCGGACCGTGCTGCTGAATGAGGGCTCGCTCCGGCGTCGCCTTGGAGAGGCGCCGGGAGGTCATCGCCGATCCCCCATTCCCCCACGGCGGCAAGGGTTCGTGCCGTGACGACGTCGGCGCTGGCTCCCGGAAACCGCGTGGATCGTTCAGCCGCAGACGAGCGCAGCTCTTTGGCTCGAGCAGGGACCGACCGTCCCGGCATTCCTATAGGCCTACCACGACATGTTCCTAGATTCCAGACGTGTTCTAAGAAACTAAGCAGCGTTCTGAGAACATGAGCCCGATGTGTTAAAACAATAACAACAAGACAGTCCCAGCCAGAAACGTTCTAAGAACATGCCGTGGAAGCCACAACAGTCTCTTAGCACATTTTCTGGTAGGCCTGTAGGCACGCCAGGACGCCTCGTCACTGCCTGAGTGGCAGCGCGGATCGCTCGGTGCCGGCCGGCCCCATGCCACAGGGTGCGCTCCCGGCCCGTGATATGCCCGCGCCGAAGTCGCCGCCGCAGCAGCGTGGCGCGAGCCTACAGTCGGGGCCTTGACCTAAGGAACGCAAAATAAGGAACGAGGCCCCTTGTCTCCATAAGTTTAACTTCGATTTCCCATCGAAACCCTAAAGAAAACCTGAGGCAAGCTGCGAAACACTTACGGAACGAGGAGCCCCTCCCCAACGAAAAGGGTTCCTTCTTCAGGACCCCGACTGTATAGGCACGCCAGGACGCTTCGCCACTGCTTGATTGGCGGCGCGGATCGCTCGGTGCCAGCCAGCCCCATGCCACAGGGTGCGCTCCTCAGCCCAAATAAGGAACGAAACCCATGTTTTCCAAGGAAAAAACATAAAGAACGATAAATAATAAAAACGCATAAGGAAGGATACATAACGCATGCAAGCCTTAAGCAACGACCGAGCCCCTTTTGAAAAGTAAGTGTTCCTTACTCAAGCCGCTCACTGTACCGTGCCCCTGCAGCGTCGCAGCAAAACAAAAAGGGCTGCACGCGCCTCGTCGCGATATCTCGGCGCCCCATGGGGGGCCACCGTGTCGTGGCGCACGCACGGCCCCCCCAACTGGCCATCGCTGGGACGTCCATTCCTTGTGCTTTTTCCGGTTTCGTGCGTGGTTTTTTCGCCAAATGATGAAGGATGCTCCTCGATGGTCCTCGCCGAAGGAAAAATGGACACGTCCGAGCGATGCCCCCCCAAGGCAGGAACAGGAGAAAGAGAAGCCCGCGGCGAGGACCCCAACAGTCATCCAGCTTCGCGCACCGGGCCCTGCGATGCGCGGCCAACTCCGCGCCCTCGCGCCGCCGCCCTGGAGAGGGGCACCCTGGCGGCCCAGGCCGCGATGCCCGAAGCGTCACTGTTTCAGCGCCCCCACGGGTGACTCAGGAACCTGGTCCTGCGGCTGGGGTCGAGGAGGGGCGGGAATTTACGAAGATCCACCGCCTGGGGAGCCGATGTCCCAGGTCCCCGGGGGGCAGCGAGCATGGATAGCTCTGGACCCCATAAAGAGGTCCGAGCATGTCTGGGCGATTCCAGAAACCCTGAACCAAATTATTCACTGCGTGGGGACCCCCATATGTGCATCTCCTTGCTGGCGCTCCCTTGGTGGTGGGACTCGGTGAGGACGAATCTGGATTTAAGTGTGACTGAGCTGCCTCTCTCTCTGCTCTCTCTGCTCTCTCTGTCTCTCTCTCTCTCTCTGCCCTCTCTCTGTCTCTGCCTCTCTTTCCCTGCCTCTCTCTCCCTCTCTCTCTCTGCCTCTCTCTCTGCCTCTGTCTCTCTGCCTCTCTCTCTCTCTGCCTCTCTCTCTGTGCCTCTCTCTCTCTCTGCCTCTATCTCTGCCTCTCTCTCTCTCTCTCCTCTCTCTCTTCTCTCTATTCTCTCTCTGCTCTCTCCTCTCTCTCTCACTCTCCCTCTCTCTCTCTCGCTCTCTCTCTTCTCTTCTCTTCTCTTCTCTCTCTCTCTCTCTATCTCTCTCTTTCTCTCTCTTCTCTCTCTCTCTCTCTTCTCTCTCTCTCTCTCTTTCGCTCTCTCGCTCTCTCTTGCTCTCTCTCGCTCTCTGTCGCTCTCTCTCGCTCTCTCTCTCTCTCTCTCGCTCTCACTCGCTCTCTCTCGCTCTCTCTCGCTCTCCCTCGCTCTCTCCCGCTCTCTCTCTCTCTCTCTCTCTCTCTGCTCTCTCTCTCTCTCTCTCTCTCGTCTCTCGCTCTCTCTCTCTCTCTCTCTCTCTCTCTCTCTCTCTCTCTCTCTCTCTCTCTCTCTCTCTCTCTCTCTCTCTCTCTCTCTCTCTCTCTCTCTATCTCTCTATATATATATCTCTCTCTCTTCTCTCTCTCTTCTCTCTCTCTCTTCTCTCTCTCTCTCTCTCTCTCTTCTCTCTTTCTCTCGCCTGTCTCCTCTCTCAACTCCCCCTCTCTCTCTCTCTCTCTCCGCTCTCTCTCTCTCTCTCTCTCTCCTCTCCCTCTCTCTCGCTTCCTCTCTCTCTCTCTCTTGCTCTCTCTCTCTCTCTCTCTCGTCACGGGCTCGTGAGATCAGCCAGGGTGGCTCCCCCTTGGGGCTCCCAAATGATGCCCCTGGCAGCGTTTTGTGACCATGAGGCTCTCAAGAGATACATGTTGGGGAGGCCAAGCGGCAATTCTAGCTGAGGCGTCGGCGTCCCACCAACATCGGCGCGAACGGGCTCGTGAGATCAGCCAGGGTGGCTCCCCCTTGGGGCTCCCAAATGATGCCCCTGGCAGCGTTTTGTGACCATGAGGCTCTCAAGAGATACATGTTGGGGGCGCCAAACGGCAATTCTAGCTGAGACGTCCCACCAAAATCGGCGCGAACGGGCTCGTGAGATCAGCCAGGGTGGCTCCCCCTTGGGGCTCCCAAATGATGCCCCTGGCAGCGTTTTGTGACCATGAGGCTCTCAAGAGATACATGTTGGGGGCGCCAAACGGCAATTCTAGCTGAGACGTCCCACCAAAATCGGCGCGAACGGGCTCGTGAGATCAGCCAGGGTGGCTCCCCCTTGGGGCTCCCAAATGATGCCCCTGGCAGCGTTTTGTGACCATGAGGCTCTCAAGAGATACATGTTGGGGGCGCCAAACGGCAATTCTAGCTGAGACGTCCCACCAAAATCGGCGCGAACGGGCTCGTGAGATCAGCCAGGGTGGCTCCCCTTGGGGCTCCCAAATGATGCCCCTGGCAGCGTTTTGTGACCATGAGGCTCTCAAGAGATACATGTTGGGGGCGCCAAACGGCAATTCTAGCTGAGACGTCCCACCAAAATCGGCGCGAACGGGCTCGTGAGATCAGCCAGGGTGGCTCCCCCTTGGGGCTCCCAAATGATGCCCCTGGCAGCGTTTTGTGATCATGAGAGAGTGTGAGTGTGAGTGAATGTGACTGTGAGTGAGTCTGAGTGAGAGTGAGTCTCATCTTATCTTATCGAGTCCTATCTTATCTTACCTTTATTACCCTCTATCTTATCTTATCTGGAAGTCTCTTATCTTGTCTTAGCTTATCTTATATCAACTCATCTTATCGCATCATATCTTGTCTTATCTTATTACTCCATAGGGTGTCTGATCTTATCTATTATCCTATCCCACCATATCTTATGCTATCTTATCTTATCTTGTAGTATCTTATCTTGTCTTGTCTTATCTGGTGATTATCATTGGGAGGAGGGAGGCGCGAGCGGGAGGAAGGAGGAAGGAGGAGCAGTGGGAGGCGTCAGAGTAATAACAAGAACCCCAATCCTTAGGATATGGGGAAAAACGTTCTCATCTCTTGGAAGCGCATCCTTTATTTCCGCCGCCTTCCGCCGGCTTCTGCCGGCGGAGGTGGCAACGTTTTACTTCCGCCGATCTTCCGCCGCTTCCCGCCGAGGAAGAGATGACAATTCCCTCTGTCCTCGAAGACAAGGCCATTTTTGGAACGCCCCATCCATGTCCCCAGCCTCTCGAGGTCCAGGAAGATCGGAACCCCTGGCGGTGGGCATGAGTGAATCCTGGCCTCGGAGTGGAATGCTCCAGGGCCCACGGCGTGAGGAGCGGCTGCGCCGGAGGCACGGGCCTCTCCTCTGAGCATGGATGAAGCGCGTTTTTTTCTCTCGCCGCCTTCGGGGGGTGGCGCCCTGGGGATCTCCACGGGCACTGAGACCGTCAAACAATGGCTCTGATGGAGAGCTGGTCCCCGGGACCTGCTTCCCTCAGGACCCCTTTCCTGCATGGCGACCCCCTTCTCCTCGCCTTCCTCGCTTTTTGCTTTGTACGTGGGCTGGAGTCAAGCGCCGACTCCCCGGCAGCGACGGGACCGAACGAGGGCCCGACAAGTGGCGAACGAGTGAGGGCCCCCCTTCCTCGTTTTCACCAGGCATCGGTTTGCTGGGCGGGCGACTCCCGACAGCAAAAACCAGCCCGGCGGTCGCGGCCCCGAAGCCCGCGCCCGCCGCTGCTCCTCCCCTGGCTGCTGCTTCTCTTCCTCCATGCCGCTTCCTGGTCGGAAGCTCCATAACTCCTCTGCGTCGCGCTACCAGACGTGTCGGCAGGGCGGTCGTCTCTTGTTGCTCGCGACGTCCCCACTCTTCTCCTGGCAGGAAGCCCCAGGCGCTATCAGCATCGCGACTCCGCTTGACAACTCAAGGGTTCCACGAATGGATGTTCAAGGGTATGAGCCTGAAGCTTGAGCTGCTCAAGGGTTCCGCGGGTGGATGGTGGGCGGGCGGTTTTCCAACACTGGTTCTTGCCTGACGCTTTCTAACATATTTCCACAATCAGTGTTTGCACTGAAGGAGGCGTAGCGGACATATAAGAGATTGGCGAAAAAAGCCGGCCGATTTCGGTGGGCGGCTCTTGGTGGGCGACTTTCGGTGGGCGCCCCCTCAAGAGATTGGCGACAGTAGCCGGCCGATTTCGGTGGGCGGCTCTGGGTGGGCGGCTGTCCGTGGGCGCCCCCTCTCTCTCTCTTTCTCTCTTTTCTGATGCTGATATTTTTCTACGTGCTATACAATCACTCTGTCTCATTCCCCTCTCTCTCTCTCCCTCTCTCTCTCTCTCCCTCTCTCCCTTGGTATTGCTGTATATCTGTCTCACTCTTCGATAGGCGATACTCAAGCTAATCGTGCTGACTGACCTTTCCCCCGTGCTATGCAATACCTATCTCTCATTCCCCTCTCTCTATATCCCTCTCTCTCTCTCTTGGTGTTCATTCATACCTTGCGCACTATTTGGCTTTAACCCTGCTATGCCACACATCATATGATTGTTATTAATAATCGTGTTTCTTCCCCGCGCCATGCAATATCTCCCTCACTTTATCTGTCTTGATTTCTCTCTATGTATGTGCAAGTTATGTAACATAAATGGTGCCCGAAATGGTCAGGATGACGGAAGGGCAATCAAGGCATTAGCCTCTCAGGGCCCTCTTGCGAAACTGCGGCTGGGCATGGTGCGTGCAAAGCTGTCGGACCATCCACTGATTGTGATTTTTCTCATCAAGTGTAAGTTGACATCTCAAGTTTGGGTTTGCCCGCAGTTCCAGCTACACGAAAGGAGGGCGAGTCGCTTTCAATGTCGCTTTTTGGCGGCGACGAGAAAGCCGTCCCCAGAGGCCCCCAACGGGCGAAACACCTGGAAAATATGTGACCAGCGTCCAAGTATGGGGGTCTGGGAGGAATCCCCGGGGGGGTGGCTCTTGGCGGCAGGCCCCCCCGCCTTCCGAGGGGCCTTCTTCGGCCCCTGGCCTCCACCTTGCGCACCCTCCGCTCGAAAGGTTTGGTGGGGCATTCCTTCTGACCCCAGAGGCATTCTGGGGGACGGGGTGAGGGCGGAGGAGGAGGAGGGGGAGGAGGACGAGGAGAAGGAAGGAGGAGGAGGAGGAGGAGGAGGAGGAGGAGGAGGAGGAGGAGGAGGAGGGAGGAGGGAGGAGGAGGAGGATGAGGAGGTGAGGGGAGGGAGGAGGAGAGGGAGGAGGAGGAGGAGGGAGGAGGAGGAGGAGGAGGTGGGGCCTCTCCGAGGGCCCCGATCCCGGAGGCCCCCGGAGTCTCCGGGGGGCCCAGTGCGCGCCCGAAGCTTCAGACCCCGCCTCCGCCGTCGCAGCAGCGGCCCCCAGGGATCCCGGCCCACTCCCCAAGGCTTGTGGATGCCATGACAATGGGCACCCTAACAGTTCCTATCATTGAATTCAAAATGTGTTAACAGTGTCGGAAACATGTCCTGAACATGGTTTAAACATGGTTTTGTTTCACATGTTCAAAACATGTTTAACACATGCTTGAGACATCTGGAAATTACTTGGCAACATACTTCCTCTCCAGTGATCGCCCTCCACAACCCAAGGCAAGCGTTTCGTTCTGATTGGCTCTGCTCAACGGCCCCCCAGGCCGGGAAGCGGCCCCCAACTGGAGGCCGAGGACATCCCAAAGCTGGCCGTGCCGACATCCGCCGAAGTTGTGTTCCTGCTAAGTAATTTTATGTTCTGCTAGGTGGTCTTTCGGTGTGCTTGATCATGTTGCCGATGTTGTCTCCTCCACCTACTCCTCATCCTCCTCCTCCATCCCTTCCTCCTCCTCCTCCTCCTCCTCCTCCTCCTCCTCCTCCTCCTCCTCCCCCCTCCTCCATCCCTTCCTCCTCCTCCTCCTCCTCCTTGCCCTCCTCCTCCTTCTCCTCGGCCCGATCTGTCTCTTTTCCATGCGCGGCTTCCAAAAGGCCCCGACCCCTTCCACGGGTATTAGTTGTTCGCCCCGCACCCCCGTTCTTGGTGGTCCCCAGGCCCGAGACGGGCCCCAGAGGCCGAGATCCAGGAGAAATGCCCGACTCGGAAAGCAACATCTCTTGAAACGTCCGACATGGGTGCTGACAGACATGATGTGGGTACGATGCCCACCCACGCGTGATGTCCGAAACCGACCGCGGTCGCTGTTGGGCAGCGGGCCGTCTGTCTCCAGTGGTTAGCGTCCGCGGCGGCACCGACAGCGAGTCCGATTCGAAGTGAGCACGAACTGCTGTCGGCCTCCGTCCCCATTCTTTCCGCACCCATTTCCATCGTACCGAATATCGTCGGGGGTCTGGGCCTGCGCCTCCTGGATCTGCTGGAGTGATGGGCCTGTTTTCCACCACCACCACCATAAATTGGATGGGGGAGAGGGTCCTCCTCCTCCTCCTCCTCCTCCTCCTCGTCCTCCTCCTCCTCGTCCTCCTCCTCCTCGTCCTCCTCCTCCTCCTCCTCCTCCTCCTCGTCCTCCTCGTCCTCCACCTCCTTCTCCTCCTCCTCCTCCTCCACCTCGTCCTCCACCTCCTTCCCCCCTTCAACTGACGGTGGCTGTGGGCGATCCGCCGGCCGGCCGGCCGAAGCGCACCCGTGGGGCGGCAGCTGCCCGTGCGGCCAGCCCGGCGGCGGGTGCCCGGGCCCGTAGAAGCCCGGGCGGGGCGCGCACACGCCGCAGCCCGGCGGCGCCGGGCCGCAGGGGCAGCCGTGGGGCGGCGGCGCGCCGCAGGGCGCCCCCGCGTGCAGGGGCGCGGCGTGCGGGGCGTGCGCGGGCGCGCCGTGGGGCGGCGGCGCGCCGCCGTGGGGCGCCTGCAGCGCGAGCAGGGAGCTGGACTTGGCCACCGCGTGCGGGGGGTGCTGCGCCTGCGCCGCCGCGGCGTTCGGCGCCTGCGGCGCGGGGGGCGCCGCGGCCTGCTGCGCGAGGCGCCGCGCCTGGGCCTGCGGGAGGCGGCGACGGCGGCGAGGGCGGCGGCGACGACGAAGGCGGCGGCAACGACGACGGCGGCGGCGGCGACGGCAGCATTCGTATGTGGCATCAAGCTGCCGGAGCACGGGGGGGGGGCGCTGGTCCGAGGCGACCTTGGGCTGGGGCCTGGAGCCCTCTCTCTCCGGAGTGACGAACACGTCCGTATGCGTACCCTCGTGTTCTGAATACCGAAGCACGATCCCGCGGATGTGCGACTCCCCCCTGTATACATGTTCAGCACCCCTTCCCGAGCCCTGTGATTGTGGTGGAGGTGGTCAATGCTCCGTAGGATAAGATACCTCTCCCGTGAGTGTGGTTTTAGTCGGGGTGCCGTGGGGTCAGGCTTACCCCTCACTCCTCATCACTCTGCCCCTCAGCTTCAATCGTGATCATCATCATGACCAGTACGACGCACACCACCATCATCATCCGTATCCATTTTGGCTCAGGCCTGGTGCCACATTCGTTCGATCTGGGCTGCAGGTCTGGCAGTAGCAACGCCAATGACATAAGCAGGGGGAGGGGGACATCAATAATATCAAAACGCTGTCGGCATGATGATTAGCAGGACTGCTAGCCGGAATCGCAGCAGTAGACATCGTATACGACACATGTGCTGCTATTGTCCCTGATCAGGATTGTGGTGGTGTGCTGCTCGCTTCTCGCGCTAACTGATTGATGCGTCTGTTGAACTGTAATCGTAAGATGCTGCTCGTTGTTTGGTTGCGTTGATGGTTCGTTGCCGGATCCGATGGTGTAATGGATAAGACGCTACCTCCTAGTATGAAGGCTCACCAACAGGAGGGGGATTAATATGATGGGTAGAACAAGGATAAGGACAAGGAAGTGAAACTGTGGGCCCTCAAGACGTCTGGACATCAGTGGGAAGCAATCGAGCCAAACTGAGACCGACCAGTCCAAATGACATAGGCAACTTAATGTTGTTATGCATCATCGCCAGCATTGGTCGGAATATGAGGAGGTGCATATATCTATGTATATATGTATATGTACATGTATATGTATATGTATATGTATAGGTGTATGTACATTTATATGTATGTGTATATGTATACCTATACGTATACGTTTATGTACATGTACCTGTATATGTATACGTGTATTATGTGCGTATATACGTATGTCTAGGGTCCGGCATCAGCGGAAAGCCAGTGGGAACCAAGTCAGCCCAATTGAAGCCGATGGCCGCACAATGGTCAGTGCTCTGCGCGTGTGATCGGAACAACATAGCTGCGGATCGCCAACGTCCCTCGACATCCGCCGCAACTCTAGAGGTCTGGTCCCCTTCCCTGGGGGCTGGCTCTTCATCCCGAGTAAAGTTGTTGACGGCCCTGGGGCCCAGCAGCACCCCAAGATGCTGAACATTGCAAACGAACCTCCACCTTGATTGTGTCACGACGCGGGGAGGTCAGGGGCAGCTGTGGGTCGTCAGCGTCTCTAAGTGGCAGTGCGTTATCACGCGGCATGACGGCGATGGCAATGCTACACCAGCGATGCGGGACCACCCGAGGGGGGCACGGGCCTGTCAGGAAGGAGAGCGGTCACACCAAGGGCCACGCGGGCCCGCTGGCCTGCCTTTACTGCTCCTGTCGTTCATCCTGACGCTCACACTCAATCCTTCAACCAATCGTGGTCGTCGTGGTCCTCCTCCTTCCCCTTTCCCTCCTTCTCTACGCCCCCCTCCCCTCCACACCCTTTTCCTAATCGTCGTCGTCGTCGTTGTCCTCTTCCTCCTCCTCCTCCTTCTCCTCCTCCTCATCATCCTCATCCTCATCCTCATCCTCATCCTCATCCTCCTCATCATCCACATCCTCGTCCTCCTCATTCTTCCTCCTCCTCCTCCTCCTCCTCCTCGTCATCATCATTCTCATCATCAACGTCATCATCATCAGTATCATCATCATCGCCATCATCTTCACCACCATCGCCACCATCACCATCACCATCATCATCATCATCATCATCATCATCAGCATCATCACCTCCATCGTCATCATCACCAGCATCATCAGCATCATCATCGACAGCAGCAACATAATCACAATACACGTCTTCAGCATAATCAGCATCACCATCACCATCACAATCAGCATCACCATCACCAGCATCGACATCATCAACATCGTAATCACCATTGCCAGAACTTTCACCACAACCACCACCACCACCATCGCCATCACCGACAGCATCACCACAACCACAATCGTCATAATCATCAGCATTATCAGCATCGTCGTCATCATCATCAACACCATCACCATCACCATCACCATCACCATCACCATCACCATCATCATCATCATCATCAGCATCATCATCATCATCATCATCATCATCATGATCATCATCATCATCATCATCATCCTCATCCTCATCCTCATCCTCATCCTCATCATCCTCAACATCCTCATCATCCTCCTCCGCCTCCTCCTAATCAGCACCATCAGCAACATCATCATCATTATCATCATCGTCGTCGCGGTCGGCATCATCAGCATAACCAACATCAACACGATCATCATCATCGTCATCATCATATGAATTAACATCAGCATCATCATCAGCAGCGTTGGCCTCGTCGTGGCTATCATCATCATCATCATCATCATCATCATCATCATCATCATCATCAGCAACAACAGCATCATCAGCAGCATCATCAGCAGCATCATCACCACCATCATCAACATTATCATCTCGCATCATGTTCCTGCACAGCGGACCTCCTGCTGCTGCTGCTCCTCCAGCTCCTCCTGCTCCTCCTCCTGCTCCTGTTCCTCCTCCAGATTACTCCTCCTCCCCTGCTCCCTGCTGCTCCTGCTGCTGCACTACTCTCCTCTCTCCCCAGATGGCGTCCGGAAGATATCCGCCTCCCCCCCCGCCCCCGCGTACTGTTTTTTTCTACGCACGACTCCCGGGAAATGGTTTTCGCTTGGTTTTTTGTAAAGAGTTGCTCCTGCTGAAGCGCTGACCTCCTTTCTGCGCCTTTGGTTGTTCCAAATCGCGTTTTCGCTGCAGCGCGGGCGTTTTCGTCCCCCCCCCCCCCCGGAAAAAAAAACTCACTTTGGTGCGTCGTCGTTTTGAACAAGTGTCAAGCTGGAGCCCCGCTTCTGCTTGGAGAAGACGAGGTTGAAAGCAGAGCCAGCGGTGCTCTCCATCAGCCCCGCCTTGTGTGGAGCTTTTCAAGAAGCCCGAGGATCTCGACATGGAGCCACGACTCCAGACCGGCCCAGACCTCTCGAAGAATATCCACTTACCCTCCAAGGACCCTGGCGCCATGCCATGACATGTTCTGCGGTGTTGTGTCATGCGCCGCTTTACATGCTTTGCGTTGCAATGCTTTGTGATGCAATGCTTCACTGCGCAGTGCAATGCCATGCTATGGCATGCTACGCTCTGCCGTGCTCTTCTACGCCATGCCATGTCGTGCCCTACCATGCATCGCATACCCTCTCACGATCATTGCTCTGCTCGGCATCCAACTATGCGAATAGAAGGAAGATCTACGCCATGGTAAAGAATTGAAGGGAGGGGTAGGACGTCAGAAATGACACGAGCGCACCTAGCGTGTCCCCTCCCCCTCCGCCTCCCTCCCCCTCCCCCTCCCCCTCCCCCTCCCCCTCCTCCGCCTCCTCCTCCTCGTCCAGCTCCTTCTCCTCCTCTCCTCTCCTTGCTCCTGGTTGTCCCCCTTCTACGCCGATTCTTGCTGCTGCTCGCTGCTGCTGTTCCTCTTCCTCCTCCTCTTCCTCCTCCTCCTCCTCCTCCTCCGCCTCCTCCTCCTCATCCTCCTCATCCGCCTCCTCCTCCTCCTCCGCCTCCTCCTCCGCCTCCTCCTCCGCCTCCTCCTCCTCCTCATCATCCTCCCCCTTCCCTTCCGCATTTCATCTACCTCTCCCTCCGCCTCCTCTCCACCAACGTTCCACTCCCTCCTCCTCCTCTCGCTTATATCTCTACTTCTCAGAGCCCCAGCGTCGTGACTTTGTTCACAGCGTGGGGCCCCTTGAGGTCTCGAGCCGTTCCCCAAGGGCCAACCTTTCATCCCCCTCCTTCCCTGCTTCCGACTCCTCCTCCTCCGCCTCCTCCACCTCCTGATCCTGCTCTTCCGCCTCCTCCACCTCCTGATCCTGCTCCTCCGCCTCCTCCACCTCCGGATCCTGCTCCTCCGCCTCCTCCTCAGCCTCCTCTTCCTCCTCCTCATCCTCCTCCTGCTGCTCCTCCTCCTCATTTTCCCAGACATCCGACGCCGTTATGTTTTCAAAGCGTGGCTCTCCATCGGTCTGGACACCTTCCTCGAGACCCTCTTTGCATCCTGAGCCGTTTCTTGACGCCTCCAAAAGGCCCTGCATAAGGCCGGAAATGGCCACAAACCTTCCATTGACGTCAGAGACGCGGAGATGTCAGCTCGAATGATGAGGTCAGTTGTCAAAACTGGCTCCAGACTGAATTGCGGGCTTATGGGCCCTGTCTCTCAGGGGGGCGCTTTGCTCGGCGAAGCAGGCTGATTGCAAGGACTGATGACGAGGGGCTTGGGACGGGAGGGTGTATTGCAAGACCGTTGTTACATCGTGGGCTTGCTCTGGCCCTCCTCCTCCTCCTCCTCCTCCTCCTCCTCCTCCTCTTCATCCTCCTATCCCAGCTTTTCCACTTCCACCTGCTTCGCTGGCTTTCGGTTCATACCACTGGCCTCCGGCAGCCGTTCGGAACGATTCGGGACCCCCAGGAACGCTC